ATGTATCTGTCTAATTTTCTGAATACCATTTATTGCATAAACTGTCTTTAGCCCATTGTCTGTGCTTGCTTCCTCTGTTGAATACTAATTGACTATAGAGGTGTGGGTTTATATCTGGGCTCTCTATTCTGTTCCATTGATCTATGTGTTTGTTTTTATGCTAGTACCATGCTGTTTTGAGTACTATGGCCTTATAGTGTGGTTGATATTAGGCATAGTGATTCCTTCAACTTTGCTATTTCTCAGGATTACAGTTTTTATGTGGGTCTTTTGTGGTTCCACAGAAAATTTTGAAATATTTGTTCTAGTTCTGTGAAATATGTCATTGGAATATTTTTCTTTTTTAAAGATTTTTTTGTTGTTATTTTTAGACAGAGGGAAAGGGAGGGAGAAAGAGATGAAAACATCAATGTATGGTTGCTTCTCGTGTGCCCACTACTGGGGACCTGCCATGCAACTCCCAGACATGTGCCCTGACTGGGAATTGAACTGGGGACCCTTTGGTTTGCAGGCTGGTGCTCAATGCATGGGGCCGTACCAGCCAGGGACATTGAATATTGATAGGAATTGAATCTATAAATTGTTTGGGTGGAATGGACTTTTTAATGAAGTTAATTTTTCCTACCCAAGAACACGGTATGAGCTTCCATTTATTTGTATCTTCTTCAATTACTTTCTTCAGTGTCTTACAATTTTCTGTGTATAGGTCTTTTACATCCTTGGTTAGATTTATTTCTAGGTATTTTATTCTTTTTATAGCAACTGTGAATGGAATTGTATTATTAATTTCCCTTTCTGTTAGTTCGCTATTGGCAGGATAAATGCAATTGATTTCTAGATATTAATTTTGTACCCTGTTACTTTGCTGAATTCATTTATCAGTTCTAGTCATTTCTAGGTACAATCTTTGGGGATCTCTATGTACATTACCATGTACATCTGCAAATAAAGACAGTTTTACATCTTCCTTTCCAATTTGTATGCCTTTTATTTCTTTTTCTTGTCTGATTGCTGTGGCTAGGACTTCCAGTACTATATTGAATAAGAGAGGTGAAAGCAGACCTTCCAGTATTGTTCCCACCACTTACCCCTCCACTCTATTGGATCTTTCTTGTTTGCTTTAAACTCCTCCACCCCGAACATCATGACTCAGCTTCTGAAAGTTCCTCTACCACATGTGGTTTCCACGTGCCCTTCTGTGCACCAGCTCTAACAATCACCTTAACACAGGATCTCTATTGCAGCAAATGTTCCTCAGGGGAGCTCAGCTGGCTTGGGAACTGACCCTTTTTGAGTCCTTGCCTTTTGTATACTTTTTCCTTGGAGGGCTGAATCTGCCTTCTGTTTCTAGTACTTCACTTGTATTGATCTAGCCAAAATCACCAGTGGTGTTTTTAATCCAAAAACTGAATGGAGACTCTTTAATTCCTAAGTTATTGAAACTCTTTGTAATGTTGTAACAATCAAAAACTGTGTCCTTTAAATTCCACCCCTCTAGAATGCTTCTGGGTCCTTTTTCTTGTTTTTCTACTATTGACATTTCATCAGGTCCCATCCTTTGGTCTTCTCTAATATCCCTATGCCTATACTGTCCTATTCTTAAGTGAAAGCTCCCATGTTTCCACATTTCCACATTTAAGGATTTAGTTATTGTGTGTGCTAATGATTTCTGAAATCCATATCATTAGGCCAGACCATATTTCTAAACCCCAGGGCCAGATATTTTACTGTATGCTTGATATTTCTCTCTAGATTACAAGTGGCAAACACAAGGCCTGTGGGCTGAATCTGGCCCTCCATCATGTTTTATCTGGCCTGAAACCTTGTTTCTACCCAGCAGCAGTGCCAATCTCTCACTTAAAGAGTAGTTACATTGATACAGTCCTAAAATTACATTCGGCTCTTTGAAGGCAACTGCAAGGCTGATGTGGCCCCCAGTGAAATGAGTTTGACATGCTCTAGATGTTCCACAAGTATATCTCAAATCTAATAGGTGCAAAACTGACCTCATATATTTATTCTGATGCTCTTAAATGACATTCATCCTGTACTCTCTCTTCTTTCCTTACTCATCCTATATCAATATAGTTATACCTTCTGTTATTTCATTTTTCCTTCCTGATATAATATTTCTGTCACCTACATTTTTCTAAAGTTTGTCTTTTCTTTTCTGTCCCTCTTGTCTTAATCTGGAACTCATAATTTATGGATTACTATGGGAATCACTCCATTGGCTTTTAGATTTGTGGTCTAACCTCTGGGATGCTTTCAGAGTAAGTTGTTTACTTTCATGCTTAAACTAACATAATGGCTTATCATTGACTTTAATGAGGTCCAGACTCTTTTTAGTTGGCATGCAAATTCCTTTATAATTACCCTCTTTTACTTCCTCAACCTTATCTTCCACCCAACTCACTACAAACCCCTTTGAATTAATCCAGGAACTTCTTGAATATCATTGAACTGGAATATTCTCTCAGGCCTTTGTACATTGAAAATACTGTAAACTGTGGGAATGCTCTCTTTCTATCCAGGGCCACTGCCAGCCCATCATTGCCTTTGTGCAAATTAGAAGTGATTCTCCATCCAGGCAATCAGTTCTGTGGGTATGCAGATTATTGATAGATGGTACCTTTGTGAGAAATAGAAGACACCTCTGCTGTGTTGAAGCATCCCATTCTGGGATACAAGGCTTGGTAAGCTGAAAGCTGACATTTTTCAACCTTTTCTATCCTCTCTGCTTGGCCCCCTTAGGCAGTGAGTAACACATACAATGGAGTACAGTAGCCCTACTCCCATAATCCCCTTCTCCTCCTGGAAAGCTATTGCTTGTTTAAGATTGGTTTCTATGTAGAATTTCCACCTGTCATTAGACCTATGATTCTCATCCTCTTATTTGATCATCAGTCCTTTGGAGAATCTGAAGAAAGCTATGAGTCCAATCTTGGTAAAAATGAACATGCTCCTAACATACAGCTTATCCCTGAACTTGAGGTTAGGGAGCACATTCCAAGGGTCATTCAGCCCCTTGGTTCCCATGACAAGGATGGGGACTGCCACTTAGTTGGCACTAAATGAACATTTGTGGAACTGTTGAGAGCACTTCCTGACAACCCACTTCCGTGCATGTTCTGCATTCATATTGCACTGTTTGCAAACCTCTATCTTCTAACATACTTTATATACTACCATCATTGCTTTCTTATCTACGTCCCTAGCTAGCTTCTGCTTTCCTGAGTAGGCACTGCTCTGTTTATATCTGCATTCCTAGTTTCTAACCCAGTACAAGAATATAATAGGCATTTCATAAATTTTTGTTGAGATTCAGTGATTTTAAGTGACTTAAAGTCACCCTGCAGTGATAGTGAACTTAAAGCTGATCCTATAATATTTTCTTCTGGATCTCATGCTACTATATATTTTAAATTCTACATTTGTATATGTATGTGCAAATTGTTTGGGTGACTCCTTAACTGACTGTTAAGTGGAAAGAGATAAAGTCTGAGACCCAAGTATTTGGGTACATATACTTTGGTAGGTATTGGATACAATTTTTCAAATATTCCAGTATTATAAAATGCTTCTCCATAAGCTTCTGAGGAATAAACAGACCTTTGCTGGTTGAAATTTAGCTACTGTTTTCATGAGATGAATTCAGTGATACTCTACTAGTGAAGAGATTAAAACCACTTTTTAGTTTTTGACCTTGCTAAAGGAACCCGCCCTTGGTCTCTAGGTGCTTGTGTGTTTTTTTGCCTCATCATTTTCAAAGTGGCATTACTGACACTAGTGTAAGCAATGCCTACTGCTTGCTGACTGTGTCTTAACATTTTTTTCCCTTCACAGATGTAGGCAGCTCACAGCAATTGATCACTTTTGGTTTCATGAATAGGGTTTTTTTTTTCTAGATTAGGATCACATTTATTTAGGTTTATAATTCCAATACATTGGAAGTGATTCATGTTGGTTGTAGTAAATTTCCTTTGTATTTTTCTGAAACGGAAATCATCTACTTTGCCTTTCAAATAGGACTACTAAATAGTTCTGTGTGAATAAAGAGCTTTATGAAAATGAAAAATATGAATAGTTTCTGGCTCTCTTTGAAAGGTGAAGCCAAACTTACATCAGGGTTTGGACATGATGGTTTCCATGAGTTACTTTTCACAGTTCTTTGTGCTGGGAAAATCTGGTTCTTCTTCTTCAATCAAACCCAGCTGCTCATGTCTGCCTTGAATTCATTTAAAATTTCAAGTCTCTCCTGTGCTGTAGAACATGTTTCAAGTACCCATTAACTTTGTTGTCCAGGAATTTTACTTGTTTTTCTTAGGCAAGTTTTTAAAAAAATGACAGTTGTGTCATAGTGAATAAAAAGCAACTCTTTTGAGTTATTAAGTTGGATTAAAATATGCCAAAGCCATGGTGACAGTAATATTAAATAAGAAGTTTCTTGTCTCTAATAAGCAACTTATTATAAAAAAGAAAGACCTCTTTTCTATTTAAGTGGATGGCTTTTTAATGACATTATGCTGTTCAGTCTCTCAATAGCTTTAAGTGTCTAAGTCAGAAGGGAGTTGGGTTGGTTTATTGAAAGTATTTTCCTGAATGTGTTAGTATATATAAATATTGTATAAACTATTTAATCATTTATTGGAATTTTAACATATTTGATGTAGAAATTTCATGTTTCTCTAAGAACATTTTGAAAACCCTGCTTAAAATATGAACGTGCTGTTGTTTGAACTAAGGAGTAAAAATGTGAAATGCAGAGTCTGAGATTATAATGATCAAGCTGAAAGCAGAGTCAATGAAATAACTTAGGGCTCCTGGATTTCAGTGTAGTGCCCAGAGGCTATAACGGGATACTGCCTTGGAATCCCTGGTAGGTACTGCACTAGACCATTGAGGCCAATTAAGCCTAAGGGTTTTAACCCTTGGTTAACTTTAACATCATGATTCATTTGTTTCCCTAATAAATTACAATTTTATATTTGAAATTTCAGAGTGAAAAGCTAGAGGTGAAAAAAAGATTTCAAGAAAACCTCAGAAGAGAAACATTTAGAGAGCATCAGCAATAGTAAGTTTGTTTTCAGGACTTTGTACCTTTACAGGCATATTGTTCATTCTACTTTTTAGTTCTGGGTGATGCTAAGTTTAGTCCTCTAGTATTGGATAATTGGCTGTTATATTAATTATGTAATTGAACTCCATTCTGTAAGTGAGATGTATGAACATGTATGTTCACCAAAGTGTTTTTTAGTCAATTGATTAGAAACAATACTGCTAAACTTGAGGAATTCTTCATTATAAATCACCTGAAAGACTTGATTCATTGGTGATTTAGGGTACTTCTGATTATCCTGACTTCCAAAATACTGATATAAAGAATAGGGTGTTTGAAAAAAAGTACCCATGCAGAATCTGAACTAACTAGAAATTAACCTAATGTACTGAGGACTATTCCACACATGTATTTTTGTAGACAACAATAGAGAAAGTTTTTAGCAATTACTGGCAAAACTGCCAATTGGTGGTCATACACCAAGGTATTTTTTTCCAGTGTGATTTGTGAATTACAACAGTTAACATGTATAGCACAACTACTCCGTGCTTTATAATTAGATAAAGTACTCTGTTACACAGACTTTAAAGGTAAGCTGGTGTGCTCACTCTATGTAGTTAGACTATCTGCACATTGCTTAAAAGAATAGACAAAACCAAAGGAACATATCTCTGGCCCAAGGTTAATTCCAAAAAGGAATGGAATTAAAACCAAGCAGATATGGCTTCAAAGTCTTATTGCAGTTCTCAGATGTGACCCTGGACAAACTATTAAAGCTCTTTGAACTTTAATTTTCTTTAAAAATAGGGATAATGATCTTTCCCATAGGCAATTTGTAAGGATTAAGTAAGATATCATCTGTAAAGGACATAAAGATGCCTAAATATTATAGGGACTTGAAATTAAACTTTTAATAGAAGTCCTTGTTCAATTGGTCAGACAACTTTCATTTTGCAGAACTGTATGAGATTTCTGGCCCATGAGACCTAGTCATTTACCTTCCACTTTCATATGGATTGTTCTCTTCTGACTCCCACCTCTTTTCTCTTCCCATCATTGTACCTCCTTTGCAGAATTTAAGGGGTGAGCACATATGACATGCTAAATCATGCTCCTCCTGTAAGTACAGAGTGTTGTGGTTTTCTGATTCCACTGAAATTATCCTGCCTCTATTGTAAGCAGGCAGCTCTTTCTTGCTTTAACAATCACAAGTAGAAACTGGAAAAGAAGTTTCTCAGCTCTTCACTTTGCCCCTAAGCAAGTAGGTACTTGGCCTCTGCTACTCAGAGTAGAAAATGAGTGGGAGATGATATGGGGTTGGATGATAGGGGGTTGGGTGACATTCTCCCCTCTAAGTTAAAAGAAACATTACTCTTATTTGAATCATAAGAGCCATAGCCTCTTTTTCCCTACTCCTCTTCTAAGGCAGGCTTGGGGAGGCAGGCATTGTTGAGGGAGTGATGGAAAGCTAAACACCAGAAATTCTCTCTCTTACAGAGATAGTAGGAGGGAGGCAATAAATTAAGGGTGTTACTGTATTACTGAGCCCCATTCATGGGTAGAGAATGGATGAGAGTTTAATTCTAAGCCAACCAGATTAGGTGAAAGAGATAAGGAACTACCATGAGGCAAGTGTAGCCTAGAGATACAAGGATAACAAATATATTTATCCTATGGCATCATAGTTTCACAGTGTAAAATTAGGAGGCTTTTAGGCACAGGACTGGGAAGTTGAATGAGTCCATTTTCTGGAGTTTTAAACATGACAAGGTCAAGGATGAGAGAGAACTTTAAAGGAGATGCAGATTGTGTGCCATTCAACCTCCTTTCTTTCATAGTCTTCCAGCTTCTTGAATTTGTGTTTTATTAAATGCTAGAGATCAATCATCTTTTTATCTGTGGAAAAAATGTTTTAACCTTAGCTACTTCACAACTTTCAGTGGAGCTGAATCCAATTACATGCATATTTCACTCTTGATCTTTCTTCTGCTTATCCTGAAAGTCCCAGTTAACCAGGGAAGAGAGAAGTTGGCTAAAAATGAGAAGCATCTGAAATAGATTGTTTTAAAGCCTATTGAAAAATACAAGTATTATTAGTTTTTTAAAAATTTAGTTTTGAACTACTTTTGAAATTAAAAGACCAATAGTTTATGAAATGAATGGCCATTATATAGTTAGAAATATGAAAGGGACTTCTTAAAAAAGATGGATCCTTGATTACAAGCCTTGGACATACCTTCTTAGAGTGAGTTTATGGGGCAAAATTGTCGAGGAGAGCTGTTAGAATTTTAATAGCACAATGATTTCACCAGACCAAATAGGCTGGTCTCCATCTCTCTCTGCACACCCCTGAATTAGATTCTCCTGAAGCAGTCAAACCAAAAAACACAAAATAGAGACATAGTTAAGAAAAAAATTTTAACTAGTCAATACCTCATGTCCTTGCCAATTTCAGCATGCTGTTGCTGTGATATGTGGTTCAAATAGCAGACCAGGAAAGTTTTTTCTTTCTTTCTGTAGAGGAGGGTAACCATGGATTGAGCAGACTGTAAATCCAAGCTGCTAGAGAAAATGCTCATGATTGCATCCTGGGGCACCACCATGAGAATCTTAATGTGCTCACTCTGAGCACCTCATTTCTGACTTCGTTCATTTGCTCCTGATTATTTTTAGTGTTGTCAATTATTTGGCTAACAGGCAGAAAACTAGGCATTTATTGACATCCAAAGGGACTCTCCTGAGTGTAATAATCAAGGCAGTTTATTGAATGCCTGTGAGGTTGTTTCCTAATTGTACACATTAATCCACCCAGGCAAGCTGGCTGAAAATACCCCAGCAGATTGCACATGCAGATGGAGAACCCAGGATGGTTTTTATGAGAAGACCTCTGGAATACACTTCTGCAGTACTCTCTTTTCCTTAAAAATCAAATGACTGACTATTTCAATTGGCAGCTGAGAGCAGACCAGATTAATAGTGCATTAAGTCTGCTACTCTGACTGGGGACAGACTCAAATTTCACAATTCAGTGTTTGTTCTAGGATTCTTGAGCATGAAAGTGAAAGGTAGAAGTTGACACCTAAACTTGGTGTAGTTTTCACTGTTATTTTTACTCTGTAAGTTTTTCCTACTTATAAAAAGTCAAATATGATACTTTCCAGAATGGCATTTTCTATTAATATTATGGGTAGATATGCATGTTTGAAATAACAGATAATAAACCCTTTGTTGCATGTTTTTTAAATATCAAATGGAGGATGTTGTGATTTATGTTATTTAAAACATTGAGTAAAATCTCAGCATTTAAAATTTTAAGTGGTGATTTATTTTGAGGGCTATAGTCATCATTCTAATCATTTTGATGGATGTAGAGACAGGTTTAAATTTTTTAGCCTATTTAACCAATGCAAGGGGGGTGGCTGGGTAGGATGCATGGGTGGGTAGTCAGATGCATTTTGTATGTGGGTGTCAGGAAAAACAATGTTTTCTTAAGAATTTATTGAAGAGTTATGTTCCATTGAATCCACTGCTAGGATTATATCCTAAGAATCCTAAAACATCAATTTCAAAGAACCTATGCACCACAATGTTCACAGCAGCACAATTTACAATAGCCAAGAGTTGGAAGCAACCTAGGTGCCCACCAGTAAATGAATGGATCAAATAATTGTGGTACATATACACAATGGAATTCTATGCAGCAGAGAGAAAGAAGGAGCTACTACCCTTTGCAACAACATGGATGGAACTGGAAAGCATTATGCTGAGTGAAATAGGCCAGGTGTTGAAAGACAAATACCATATGATCTCACCTTTAACAGGAAGCTAAACAATAAAACAAACAAGCAAGCAGAATAAAAACAAAGACACTGAAATAGAGAACAAGGGAACAGCGATTAGAATGGAGAGGGAAGGGAATTTAAGGGGGAAAAGGGGAGGGATTTGGAGGAACAAGTATGAAGGACTCAGGGACAAGAACTAAGGGGGGTGGAAATGGGAGGGAGGTGGGGTGCATAGGGCGGGGTGGGCTGGGATAGGAGAAATAGAAAACTGTACTTGAATAATAACTAAATAAAGTAAAAACAAGAATTTACTGAAGAGAAGAGAATTGGGTAGCTTTTGAACATTTAAAATGTTACTTTATATTTAATAATCATTTTAAAGTATATCTTATTGACTATGCTATTACAGTTGCCCCATTTTTGTCTCCCCTTTTATTTCCCTCTACCCTCCACCCACCACCTTAGTTCATGTCCATAGGTCATACATATAAGTTCTTAGGTTTCTCCATTTCCTATACTATCCTTAACCTCCCCCTGTCTATTTTGTACCTACCAATTATGCTTCTATTCCCTGTACCTTTCCCTGCTTTCTCCCCTTTCTTCCTCCCATGGCTAACCCTCCATGTGATCTCTATTTGTGATCCTGTTCTTGTTCTAGTTCTTTGCTTACTTGGGGTTTTTTTTATTGTTAAGTTGCTGATAGCTGTGTTTGTTGACTTTTCACTATTCATAGTTTTGATCTTCTTCTTTTTCTTAGATGAGTCCCTTTAACATTTTATATAATAAGGACTTTGTAATGATGAACTCCTTTAGGTTACCTGATCTGGGAAGTGCTTTATCTGCCCTTCCATTCTAACTGATAGCTTTGCTGGATAGAGTAATCTTGGATGTAGCTCCTTGCTTTTCATTACTTTGAGTACTTCTTTCCAGCCCTTTCTTACCTGCAAAGTTTCTTTTGAAAGTCATATGACAGTCTTATGGGGAATCCTTTGTAGGTAACTCTCTGCTTTTCTCTTGCTGCTTTTAAGGTTTTCTATTTAACTTTAACCTTTGGCATTTTAATTATAATGTGTCTTGGTGTGAACCTCTTTGGGTCCAACTTGTTTGGAACTCTCTGTACTTTCTGGATTTGTATTTCTATTTCCTTCACCATATTGGGGAAGTTTTCTTTTGTTATTTTTTTAAAATAAAAATTTCAATTTCTTGCTCTTCCTTCTCTTTTTCTGGTACTCC